CTCCTCCTTTCCCTCTCTCTCCATCTCCCTTCCTCCTCTCTCCCTCTCCCTTACCTTTATGTGAATCGGCTTGCTTTAATTTAATTTTTATTAATTTTTATTTGAATTTTTCGATCTTTTTCGTCGCGCTGTGATGACGTCACAGCGTGCTTTTGTCGAGCGCGATTTTGTCCTACGCGCTTTTGTGGTGGAACCAGCAACTCCAAAATCCACATAAATCAAAGGTTGATCAAATTTGGGAAATTATAGTTCTAGGCAGCAAATGAGTTTCTCTGGAGGGATAGTTTCAAAATGTTCAAAATATTAAGGCAATTGTTTGTGGTTTACACAACTAGTTTGCAAGAATACTAGCAAGACAGGTGGCAAATTTAATAAATCATTTACTACTACTACCTAACACTAAATATTTTAGGCACCATGTATCATGAGACACCAAAAGATCTCTCAAAATAGGAAATATAAGATCACATTTCTTGGCATAAGAAATCCTAAGACAAGGCAAAAATGCTGAAATGTGAAATTTGGTGGGTTTTGTGATGACTTTACATTTTTTATTTTGTAAATAATACCAATGCCATTCTAAAATATATGAAATGATGACTGCAGGTACTGCATTACAAATTCCTACCATATCAGGTATTACAAAGGACTTTAATGAAGGAGAATGGCGAAAACAATTATCTTCAAACTTTGAGAATTTATGGCCTTCAGGAAATTAACAGGGCCTCTCCCTACAATTATTCTGTCACTGACTAAGGAAAAGAAATATTAGCTGTAGTCAAGCATCAGATGGAGGGGAAGAACAAATAAGTTCTCCATCTTGTATTTGGAAGAGACATTTTAGATTGGAAAGTTCATCATAGCTTACAGACTGCTTGTGTACTTAAGCAAAGATGGACATTTTCATATAATATGACTGATTCAGGTAAGTAATTTACTCAATGTTCTTATAACAAAGGAAATAAAGGCTGGATTAGTTGTACTTAAGTGATAATATTTACAGCATTTTCTTTTTCTGTCTACGCTACTACTAAAGCAAGACAGTTAAGTGAGTTTTGTCTTATTTTACAACCTTTCTTACCATGGTTGTTAAATGAATCACTGCAGGTGTTAAATTAGTAACATGGCTGTTAAGTGAATCTGGTTTCCCGATTGATTTTGCTTGTCAGAAGGTTGCAAAAAGTGATCACATGACCCTAGGTAACTGTAATAATCATAAATATGAGCCAGTTGCCAAGTGTCCAAATTTTGATCAAAAAGGCTATAACTAGTAGGTGTGAAAAATGGTTATAAAGTCACTTTTTTCAATGCCATTGTAACTTGGTCACTAAACAGAAAGTTGTAAGTCGAGGACTACCTGTATGTCTATAAGTGGGGAAAATGATGTGTCATAGAGCAAAACCTTTTTAACCAAGATACCTGAATTGAAGTAGTTTACAGAATGCATCCAAAATCCAGGATCCATGATTCCTGTAGAACTGAAATTTGGCAAATTTTATAAAATATTTTATGACATAATACAAAATATCTTAAGCCTTTTAAGATATGCAAACTTCAATTCCTAGAATTCCACAGCCAAACAAAATCAGGAAGTAATAGCCTGCCTAACATTTTTTTTATTATGACTCCATTTGATGAGTTTATTTTTTTAATACCTTTTTTGCTGTACACCGCCCAGAATCATTTGTAAGATGGATGGCCGTATAAATTTGATAAATGACAAACATAGCTGTTGTCCAATAAATATATTTCTGATATATACAGAGCCATCAATACAGGAGAGAAGACTATCTAAATTGAGTAAATGAACAAGACAAGCATCAGTTTCCTGTATTGATTACTTTGTTTATTGTTGAGATCCATTGCTATTTCTGTATATAGGACAGCTAAGGCTGTCTGGAAAANCACTGTGACTTGGAGTCTGGTAGCAACTACCTTGGCTTTAATTATTTTTTAAAAATTCTTTAAAATTCTTTCCTTTTCCTGAGGAGACTGGTGAGGCCTCGCCTCCCCTGCCTCTAGTGACTGCACGTCCCTGCTATTACAGCATTTGTGAAGGAAACTTCTCAAATCTGTTGGGCCTCTGACTTGCTAAACTCACAATATAAAACACATAGGAATGTTGAAATATTTAATGTATTAAGATGTATTATTGAATATTTAATTGTTATCCTACATATTTAAAAAGTGAAGTAAATCCTTACTGATTAAATAGCAAAATGAAGTTTAAGTTTCCAATATATTTTTTTTAAGCACCCCACTGCTTCTCCAGGCGCATTTATCTTGAAATCATATTCAAGTGGACATTCAATATTTCTAGAACTAAAATGATTACTTCTCCCAGTTCTAAAGAGTCTGTCCATATATAATGCTTTGCACTAGCTTAGTTGCCTAATGTATGGACAGCTAGGATGGCCATTGCTGATCATTCTGGGAGTTGAAGTTTTCATGAGAACTCTTTAAAGTAGGCTGGCTATCAGGAAACAGATTCCTCTGGAATCGTAGAAAACTCATAACCTCCTTTTAACAAAAAGGCCCCCTTTTAACTTTTGCCCCAAGTCACAAGGAATAAACCAAAAAACCGGAAAAGAAACAGCTAAGAATAAAGAGACACCATCTCTGGTTTTTTTTTTCTCTTTTCCTAATAGAAAGTAGCTGCAGGCAAACAGCTCAAGCTGTGAAAAGAGAAACCATGTTGTAATCTTGAACTTGAGAAACCCCTTTCTTTAAGAACAATGGAAACAATGACTCAAGCCTGCAGGTTCATTAGAAAGGCAGGCTAGAGGAAATAGTCAATAGAATAAGATCAGTTACACATGCCTGACAGGATTAAAACTAAGGGAAGCAGATGCTTAAGCCTGATCACAAGTTATACAGAGCAAATAAAACTAATTAAATGATAAAAGCACACAAAGTCAAACCTCAAAATTGTGTAAGACAGTAAAAGGTATAAAAATGTCTGCATTCATTGACTAAACCAATTTGCCAGCTGACCCGGAACCCATTACTGTTGTCACTGAAGAACCTCTGGCTTCTGAAATAAACCTCCATTCTGAAAGCTTGTTTCTCAGCTTATTTCATCTGTCAGTGTCAATTGTGTTATCCTGGCTGGAAAGAATGAACCGGAGAACTTTTCTGTCATCAGAAGACTAGAAATATACTTTATGGAGATAGACTATAATAACAGAATTTTGCAAGCTTCAGTGTGCTTTTCCTTTTATAGCCCAATAAATCAGGGAGAAGCCAATCTGGGTCTCTTCTGAATATCACCTTATTTTTCCGATTTAAAGAATGTTTCCATCCTCTTTGCCTACATAACATTTCTTATATATTTCCCCATGTTTAACTCCACTATTCTCTGTATAATCACTTCCATTAGCTTCAATCTTCCCTCCCACTAAACTTGCATCACAGTCATATTAATGAACCATAGATTCACTCTTTTCTTTGGCCATTGGCAGCTTCCTGAGGCCTCTATTGCTGCAGTAAAATAAGTAGGTCCTTCTCCCACCACCACTTTTCTGCTGTTTAGCCTGTTATTTTCCATCCATTTCGGGTGGCTTGTCAATCCCACCTGTCCAAAAATAGTTGTAGTTGGAAATCTTCCCTCTTCTCAGGTTGTATCACAGTTTACTATTTAGAGTTCTTCATGCTGGGAAACAGAGAGACCTATTTCTCTTGGGACCTGCAGTTACCTTTTAATGGTGGTAGAACAAGTGGACAGGGTGTCAGGGTTCCAAATAGCATCCTCAAACAAATCACACTCCCAGGCAAGAAGTTCCTCAAAGTTGCAATTTATTAAAAGAGCCATGTTGGCACATCTGGAGAAACCTGAATCTGAAAGCTTCCAAGTTTTCCCACCCAGTTGAAAGTTCAAGATCCTGTCCCAACACCCACAAGCTTATCACATGGTCCAATCATCCACTGCCATGATGACAGATTCCACCCATCCAG